GAAAAAAATACTAAATTAGCCATAAAATGACATGTTGAATCCGAATTTTAAGATTAGTTTGGATTCAATATTTATGAGCAACTGAGAATTTTGACGGAATTTATAGAAAACCGCCACAAGAAAAACTACCTGGCCAAAGTCAATACCTTGCGGCTTTTGTACCACTACTCGAGTAGTGTGTGGGCTAACAAGATCTCGAAGAACTGATGTGTAGTTTTCGAGGGAGAAGACCAGGACGGGCCAAAGTAGGTCTCGGGGCTACGCTTACCATGAAGACGTAAAAACTGCTAAAGACTTCATTATTGCGTCATACGAACAAACTTGCAGCCGCTTTCATTTGAACATAAACAAAGTTAAGTTTCGTTAGATTTTGAGCTCGCCTAACACGCTATAAAATGAGTGATATCTACTAATGCAGATAAGGTCCTTTAGTCAAAAATTCTTTCCGAATGTCAGAGGAGAAAATCTCATTTGCGGATAGAAATATGCAACTTTGTATGCTCTTTCAAGCTAGCAGTATGACAACGCTTGTTAGTGTTAGGTAAGGTCGGATTTCGCTGTTCTGACACCCCTAAAAACGCTTCAATTCAGAACTTATGGCCGATGAAAAACCGTGTTCGGAATAATTTTTCTATGCGGCGACAGAGGCCTTTACATACCCTTAGTAGGACTATCGATTGCATACAGTCAAACCTTCCCGGCTTTTAGCTCATGTAATACTGGGCGGACCTGTGCGGAAGTACCCCTTTGTGATAACTTAATTTTTCAGGGCCTTCCACAACCACTACAACGACGACGACATCTACTTCAACTACTGCAACAAGTAAGAACACAGAGGGTATAGTGAAGTGTCCTGTTCACTCTCGTAGAATATTATCTCAAAATCATTCAGACAACTAGAAGAGCATAGCCACCTTTCGAGCAAATACATTTTCAAGATCTGAAGTAAGTTTCAGAGACTTTACGAACTACTAATTATTGTAGAAATTATTTTGTCTTCGTAACAGACTTTTATTTAAATCTATAACACTTGTCTAAATGCAGTGTTGTTCAATAGACGAGAACATAAAATATTAAAAGCTAAAATTGATTGATAGAAAGATACATAGAAGAAACTGACAACTTGTATTGTAATGTATGTACAATAGATGCTAAAACTGTATCACGACAAATTCTTTGTCTTTTTTCATTTATATTTCTCCCTTTTTCCCATACCCTTTAATCTTTTCTTATGCCTCTTTATACTAGGGTAACACAAGTAAGCAACGATGTGAGAGACCAGAAATTTATATATTTCTACTTCAGTCGAGTCTACCCAGGACGTCAAAAACGGTGATTAATTGTCTATTAAATGCCAGTTAATAGCTAATGAAATAGTGATTAAATGGCCATTTTTACACCTAATAAATGGGAACCTTTTAATGCCTTAAAATGGCATTTTTTAACAGGTTGAAAACTGTCTAAAAACAGTTATTGAACGTTGTCTTTGATTAATTTTTTTTATTAGTACCACAAGTAGTATCCAAAATTTTTGACGTTTAGTTTCTTAGATCCATGGTGCCATCAATGGCATCAGGTCCAGAACCAGCGACGCCTTCCACCAGACAAGTTTCGATGGCTTCTACAATCAAGGAGGAGAAAATATTGTAAATTTCTTCCAAATTTCAGTGATATATATTAAATTGTGTTATATATATACTAAATTGTGCAAAAGGAAACTATGAGTTATGATGCTACATTCGTATGAAGGCCGCACACTTATCTATATATTTAAATAGTCTTTACAAGTGATCATTCACATGTTACAAGCTATAACATACATAAATGTCGACCATATTTAACGTCGACATGACTATGTACGACGGGTACTTTTACTAGCAGCTGCTAGTGGCAAAGCACCACATGATGATGTATAGCTCTCCCGAGCGGTTGGAACGGGGTTTCTTGTAGAGAATACTTTTTATAGCAGAGATATTCGTGAAGAATAAGAAAAGATGGAAGAGTATGATAGTAGTGATGTTAGCCGCGCCGCTGTCATAGACGAAATCTATTTTTGAAGTTTGTCATGATACAGTTTTAACATCTGTTGTACATACATTACAATACAAGTTGTCAGTTTCTTCTATATGTCTTTCTAACAGTCAATTTTAGCTTTTCATATTGTATGTTCTGGTTTACTGAACAAGATGCGTATGCAATCGAAACTTTTTGACAAGTGTTATAGATTTGAATAAAAGTCTGTTACGAAGACAAAATAATTTCTACAATAATTAATTATTTATCCGAACTTTGTATTTTAATCGAACTCTGTTTTAATCTTAAAAATGAGATTTTACTAATCTTTATAAAGAACAGTACATTCAAGCATCGTTTGCCCTGGAAAAAAAGATTTAGCTTGGTGACACATGTTTAAGCCTTTTCACTACGAAAAAACAATTCCTTTTTTGGAGAGATTACAAAGCGGTTGAATTGTCAGATGACTGTGAGATCGCTATTCAGTGAGAACTAGCTTCCCACGACATTTTCAGTGGATAGAGAGTTCGACATCGCAGAGGTAAACCAAACTAGGACAGACGACGTTTCATGTCAATACTCTGTATTAGGTAGTTCGATCATGATGGAGTATTAGTAACACAGAGTATTAACGTGTAACGTTACCTGTTTGGACTGTCCCAGTATGATGTGCACAGTAGGTATCGCTGAAGATACAGTCGATCAGGCCTAATGTCTCTTAACAGCGACATTAGCCCTAGGAACTGCAGGGATGGGGACAGGGTAGAAATGCATATTCCTTTTCCAGCTTATAGGCAATGACAGAACAACATTTCTGTTCTGCAATGATAAAGAATATATATTGAAGGATAACATCGTGTCACTGGACAGCTTCAATCTTCGTGCAGAATATAGGAAAGAGCAACGAAGTTGATTTTGTGTTTTGATAGTTTATGTGTCAGAATGATATAATGGGAATTTACATTCTCAGTCTTGTTCTGATTCAAGACCAAAACTTAAACCAATAATATTCTCCTTATCGTGAACTTTCATATCCATGACACTTTCCGTACCGAAATACGAATTGACTGTCCCCGACTGTGTTCATCATCTGAAATGGTAGAAAATGGATAAATCTAGAAATATGCAGAATGCGATTGTACTGTTTCTGGCCTCTCGACAACTTGTTCGGAATCAGATGTTGAAAAAGTGTCTATAGGCTCAGTATTTTACCTAACAAACAATTGTCTTGAAACCTCACCGCACTGTAGATAATCTATCAGGTAGTATCATGAAAATAGGACGGAAAACATTGGTAGACAAATTAGTATTTTACATAATTGTGTTGGGAGTGCCAATATATTTAATTTTTAAAAAAAATTAGGAGTATTCTCAAAAGATATGCGCATGCCATTCCGTTGCATGAAAGCTGTCAATTATTAATGTTGAAAATAAATATTCAGCAATGATGAATACTATGTTATTTATTAAAAGCGACAACAACTACTACTAGCACTAGTACAACAAGTTCCTCAACATCCACGAGTACGTCAACATCCACGACAAGTACCACAACAACCACGAGCACGTCAACATCCACGACAAGTACGTTTTAATTCTAGCAAACCTCTGATAATTAACCACACATCCTGATCCCAGTACGCGCTCTCTGTTTTACCTTTTCACGGAGCAAAAGACCTCTTACAGCTCGTGCTATCGAGATCAGAAATTTGTGTCCTTATATGACTTTGACTTGAAAGAAAACCAGTTTATAATTTCTGTGAATGATAGCTGTATTTGCTACAGAGTTAATTTTATGTATGTTAATAGCAACAACAACAAGCACGACGAGCACTAGCACCACTAGCACAACGTCTACATCAACAACAAGCACGACGAGTACTAGTACCACTACGACAACATCTACATCAACAACAAGCACGACGAGTACTAGTACCACTAGCACAACGTCTACATCAACAACAAGTAATTGTCTCAACGTAAAGGCACACATTCGTCCACAGAAAGAGAAATATAACACTGAATCGGTTCCACCGAAGCAAATAAAAAGTATCGAGTATTTGGCAATCCTACCTTTGGGTTATTATCTGGAGTTTTTGAAAAACTGATTTTCCAGCAGACCGGATCTTTGAAGGGCTATGGGCAACTCCCATGATCATATTCGAAATCAGTATGGTCGATAACCTATAATCCACTAGATTTCGATCAAAAAGCGAAATATCACCTCGCGGGTTCCTCGTTAGATACAAGTAAAAAGACAGTATTGAGTATTAGACAATCCAAGCTAGATAACTCCATAAAGTAGTCGACATATCTAAATAATTCAATATCTTACCCGATTCTGGATATTATACTTACCACATGTCCAAGTAAGAAATCTTGTGAAGTATCCAGATATTTTGTTGTGGTTTTGGGCAACCCTACTATGAAATATCTAGGTAGAGATGTCACTTTTATTGGGTTATCTAGATATATTGGGTATAGTATTGTCCAACACCACAATAAAATATCTAGATATTTTCATGTACGATTTTTTGCTTGGGAAATTTCTCAAACCAAATTTTCGTTAATTTTTCGATCTTTCGTGGAAAAGTTCCTACGTGGAAAAGTTCCTAACTCTCTAAAAGCTTGATATCTTATAAATCCTAAAAAGAGGAGCACCAAAAAACGTACGAGACTCTAAACTTGGTATCTGTTTCTGACAAGAACCCAATTTGCTTTTCAAAATATGTTTATTGGTATTAGAAACTATTCGCAAATCCCTCAATCATGCTATAGAGCTAGTGCAAAGAGAAATTGGCTAAAATAAACACAGATAGCAGCGAGTCATCAACAAAATTCTGCATATGGAATGACTGCTATGACTATAGCAGTTAGTTATTAAGTGCTTTTCTTGGCTCTAATTTTGTTTTTTCTTTCCTTACGCGATACAAAATTTTGATCCTTATACGTTTTTCAATGATAAACTTCTGAATTTTTAGAACAAATTTCCGAAAACAGTAAGGAAAAAAGGAAGCATTATCTGGCAAGTACCAAATCTGCGACCTTACGTTTTCCAAGATGTCACTCTGATCAACTGAGCTTAGATGCTTTCCCCAGAAGAGAGAGTTTTCCCAAAATATTTTGGTAACTTTCACGCCCTTTGTACCTAGTGGTAAATCGACTGCAGTTACGTGAAAACGCACTATAGAATGTCGGGAGATGTCTTATTTTGCTCAGAATTCTCCGCTCTAGCAGGCTATGTGATTTACTCAAAATTTTCTGACCAAAAACTAAGAACTTGGCTTTCCATCGGTCAGGTCTTCCAGAAGCTCTATCATTAACTTTCTCATGAAAGGGCGATATGCACCTCGTCTGATAGAAAAATCTTCGGGCTATTCAAAACAGTATTCAAATTAGTTCCCGCTTTTACTAAAAATCAAAAACAAGGGATGTCTTCTGATTATGGTACACTGTACTGCTTAGATAACACTCAAAAGCTTCTTTTCCATATCTTTAATGACTGGCCCCACCTGTCTGAATATTGTGACCAGCTCACTTTGTAGAGAATTTCGAGGGCTATCCAATGGTATGTTTCGAACAATACATCATTTTTCATTATGGCAGAAAAACGACTAACGGAGTTTTGAAAGCACTAAGATAGGTCAAAATCATTATCTCGGCCTAGTGTTTCAGCTATTGACCTATGTGGGCATATTTTTCAAAGACTTACTTATAGCTCATTTTAAAGCTCGTGAATTCTCTATCGAATGGTATATAAAGTACAGTAATGCTGCTTTAACCCTTGTACGCTTTTTCAAAAATTTCTGGGGAAGAGGTTTGGCGGTCCAGTGCATTCAGGCTTAGTTTTCTAGATCAAGTTTTCAATGCTGAATCCGAAAAACTTGGTGGCGAAACTCAAAACCTTTAGGGGAAAAAACGGGAGAGCTTTTACGAAAAGTGGGGAAAAATGGAGTTTTTTACAATATCCGAGTGTTTCCTTCATATCTCAGCGAAGGAAAGGTTTTGAATGGCCGCGTTAGTCTAGTCGTGACCGTCGTCCAATTCTCTATCGAATGGTGTATAAAAAGTGTGCAAGTATTTTTAACTTAAAGTCTGCCTTAGGTGCATCTTACCATTTTTGGTTTGTAAAAAATGAAAATACCATCTATTTCTAGACAGTATGGTTCAGTTTACGCAGTTCGCGGTTCGCGTTACTGCTGAACCTCTTTTTATTTATATATAACGAGACACATTTGCCCAACCAGTCTTTCGAGGGTTATTTCGAGTACTCAAAATATGGCTTCGATGGATCGATCCCTCGATGTATGCGTTCGAGGGATCATCGATTTCGAGATCTCGGATTTCCGATAGGCACCGAGCCCTTTAACAGACGTAGTCGGGATTTCTGAGTCCTTGCCGCACCGCTGGGATGACGTTTTCGGTCTGCTTATCTACCTTGTCTTAAATATTTTCATTCTAGCAACAAGAACAACCTCAACTTCAACGAGTACATCCACATCAACTACAAGTTAGTTTTGTTTCTCTTATATGAGCACGACGGATTATTCAATTCTGCTAACTGGAGCCTGAAAGAACTCAGGAATTTGTGCGTATTTTGCTTAAGAGACAGTCGGTACTACCATTGAGAAATTCGATTATCCAGTAAAAAATTAGTTTTATCTCCAACCATGTTCATTCCAGTCTCCGATGAAAATGACCCAGAAATCCAAATCTTGAAACCTTAGAAACGTTTCCTTACCGATTTATGAAAGTTTTACGAAG